ATGTTGCTCTTTCTGATGGAGTCAGATAGTTCTCGTGTAGTTCTTCCATTTTTAAAAACTCTTCTCTCTTCTTTCTCCTGGATCTTTTCTAGGCTTCTGTTTTCATGCTTGATAATTGTCTCTTCCAAATGGTCTGCTCAATTGCCAGTGCTTTCTAATGCATTCCTCATCTCATTTATTGAGTTCCTCAGCTCCAGAATTCCTGTTTGGTTCTTTTTTATAGTTTCAGTCTCTTTGGTAAAGCACTTGTTTTGTTCATTTTTATCCCTGAGGTCATTGAACTGCCTTTCTGACTTCTCTTGTATTTCACTGAGCTTCTTTACAACTATAGTCTTAAATTCTGTCATTTAAGTGACAGTCTTCCACAACTTTGAGTTTGGTTTCTGGAGATTTTTCATTTTCTTTCTGTGCTCCCGTGTTACCTTGGTTGTTCATGGTATTTGATGGATTGTTTCTCTTACTGCACATGTGAGGTAGTGAGCTCTTTTCTTGTTTTTCTTTTTTAAAGATTTTATTGTAGAATTGGGGGAGGGAACAGCATTGGGGAATTGGGGAAGGAGAACAGACAAGTTGCTGTCCTTTTGTTCTTCATTCTAGTTGTGGAGGATGTTGCTTCACTGGCCCATGTTGGTATTGTGATCATTGCGCTCTTCCGGCTGAGGCAGATCGGTTACCAGCCATTGGACGGCCACTCGCGGTGGCTCACGGCAGCTCAGGCTGGCTGCCAGCCGCTCACGGTAGCTCATGGTAGCCCACTTCAGCTCCACTGTAGCCTACACGGTTGCCGGTAACTAATGGCAGTCCAGCTCCAGGTTGAGCTGTTGTTCACCATCTTAGCTGTAGAGGGCGCAGCGTCACTGGCCATGTGGGTTCCAAACCGGCGGGCCTGCTGCTCAGAGCTGGCATCCCAAGCCAACTCTTAACCAACACGCCACTCAGCCAGCCCCTCTTTCCTTGTTTTGTTTTAAACAACTCAGCAAGTTGAAAGTTAGGATACTTTCTTTTCCCCCCAGTATATATGGTGTTATAACACAAGTTTTTGTTTCTCTTACCTGCACTATTTGTGTCCCTGGAATTGCAGTGGAGCAGTGTTGCTTCGGTTCAGGAAAATGCCATATACCCACTGGGATGGTGGGTGTCCCCTGTGACTGGCTTGCCTGGGTTATGGGACACCACCACTGTTGTGGGGGAATGTGGCAGGCGGTAGAGAATCAGTTTTGCGAGCTTCTAGTGCTACTTCCTTTTTGGTTGCTGGCCCACTGTGTTTTTGGAGGCGTCTCCACAGCTTCTACTGGGCTTTGTTCGGATGGGTGGGGCAAAGGAGGTAAGTTCATGATCTCTCAGCTACAACACCCATCAGCAGTGGTTGTCAGCACCACTGTACTGTTTAAGGCTTCCCAGCCACCTCTGCCATGATGGGGAGGGGAGAAGAGAGATGTCTTTTCTCAGAGGAACACTGCTTCTGCCCCTCTTACACTCTAGGTTCTAGTGTGAGGACTGCAGGTTGACTTCTCCATGGCTACTGTGCTCACTAGAGCAGCGGTGGGTGCCGAACTGCATCTGCGGCCACCATCCCTGTCTTTCTCCTCTTCCTGCCTCCCCTACTCGTTTGAATATGCCCCCTTCAGATGTACTGATGTGTGGATCTTTTAGGCATGTTTGTGTTTTGAGCAAGGATTCCTTTGTTGAGTTATAGTCTGTCTGACTTGTAAATTTAAGGGGCGAAAGAAAGGAATCTTCTCATTATGCTCTGATGCTGAAGACACTGTTATTTCTTTTCCACCATGGCTGCTCCATTTCCAGGCTCTTTATTTTGGTTTGTCTCTTAAACCCAAAAGAAGAGCTCATGGGTGCTATATTCCCTCCAATTCTTACATGTTTGAAAATATCCATTTGTGTTTTCATGCTTGAATGTCATCTTGGGTGAGTATAAAGTTGTTGAGTACAGAATTTTTTTCTCTGAGAAAGTTGTAAATGTTTGATGGTCTTCCAGTATTCCTTTTTACTGTGGAGGTATCTGAAGCAAGACTGATTTTTCCCCCTTGTCTGGTGACTTGCATTTTTGAAAAATGGAATCCCCCCACCCCCAAATAAACTTTTGTTTTTCTTTGAATTCTGGTAAATTTACCACACATATCTGGGGTCAATCATTATCAGTATTTTCTGGATATGGTGTGATTTCTGACCTTTTCGATTCAGGTCTTCTTTTATTTAAAAGAAACTTGTCTATTATCTTTGAATTTTTCTTTCTATTCCATATGCTCTAATACATATAAGTTAGATCCCTTTTGTTTTCCTTATATATACCTAATTTTCTTTCTGAAACTTACTTTTGTTCTTTTCTATTCCATTTTCCTTGATCTTTGAAAGCCTTCTTCCATGTCCCTGTTTTTTCTTTGTGATAGTCAAGAAACATATATCCACAAAATGATTTTTAATGGTGACATGGGATTGCACTGTGTATATGTAGGATAATTTTATTATTCTTCCTATTAGGTACTTAGATTTGTCTCAAAATTTTCACTATTACAAATGTCCATAGATGTTCTTAACAGTAGTGATGTTGCTTCATAAGATCAGTAAACTTGCCCTAATTCCTACTAAGGAAGCTCAGTGCCAAAAAACTTTGAATCAGGCTTGTGAATTCACTTTTTTGTCTTTCCTTCAGATATAGTGGATATAGGCAGGCTCAGGATAACCAATGAATGATCAATGATTTTAAGGGTTTCCAGGTCATTGACATAAAAATGAGACCCCAGTTTTATGCTAAGCATATTAAGGAACTCTCCAGATTAAAGAAAGTGGTTTGGTGATGGCTTCTTCAGTACTCTCAAAAAATATATTTAAGACTTAATGGTAGGGGTGAAAGATGGTACAGTCTCTGGAGGACTGCTTAACATTTTCTGCTGAGCTGAATATTTTATATTTATCCCTCTAGATCTACTTTTCCCCTAGCTCTGTGTCCCAGGAGGCTGACATAAGTGGACCACATCAGTGGGCTCCCTTGTCTTCTGGTTTCTGGTTGGAAGCAAATGAAAAGTGGCAGCAGGATACTGAAGGATATGAGGAGAATGAAACTGGGTGTTTATTCTAGCAGCTATCTCTTACCTGGGTTGCCATACATTGGCTGTATCCCATCACCAAAGGTCCCAAGTCCTGTAAGGTGATCCTTTCCATATAGCTATTATCTTTGGGCTCTGGTTGATGGTTTCATCTCCTCCTTATACTTTTAGACCTAAGAGTGGAAATGGCTCACCACTGTTGCTGGATTTGAGTGTCTGCATCATTTCTTGTTGGTCTTTCTAAACTCTTCCTATGTCTTTGCAAGCAGTCTACTCCTGTTGGCTACATTTCTAGAAATTTATCCTACATGTGTATAAAATAACATGTTATAAAATTATTTCTAATAGTGAAATATACAGTCCATGAACAGAGGACTGTAAAGTAATGGTATTACGCAGCTGTAAAAACTTAGAACATTCGTTAGATACACCTATGGAATAATCTTCAATTTATTAGTACCCCCGCCCCCTAACCTTCAGTTATTCTTTTACTTATTCCTCATATAATCAAGGCCCCAAAAATATTTTTGTGGCCTCCTTTATACTTCAGTGATCATAAAATACAAGTGTTTGGTTCACCATGCTGTTCTTCCAGTCTTTGCTGTTACTGTTTTTAGCTTCATTGAAGTTTACTTGATATACAAAAAATTATACACATTTAATGAATAACTCTTGATCATATGTATTGATCAAATTTGGACATACATATTCATCTGTGATGTCGTTATCACACCCAAGACACTAAGTATATCCACCGCTTCCAGAATTTTCCTTGTGTTCCTTTTTTTGTAGAAACATGAGACTTATCCTCTTAACATATTTTAAAGTGTGCAATACCATATTTTTGTCTCTTAAACCCAAAAGAAGAGCTATAGGTAACTATGTTGTACAGCAGATCTCTAGAGTTTATTCATCTTATATTAACAGAAACTTTATAAAATTTGGAAAAAGCACGGTATCAAAAAACAAATATAGTATGCTACCATAGGTGTAAGATAAAAAAATGTATGTGTATTTGTTTTTATATATATACATATGTATGTGTACATGTGTGTATATATCTATATCTCTGTATAGACACACATATATATGAGAGAGAGCATGTGAAAACATGTGAGGGGAAAGGGGGAGAAATAGTGTGTCTTTGGAAAGGTACACAAGAAAATGATAACAGTGGTTGCTCCTGGAGAGAACTGGGTAGTAGGAAACTTTTTACAATTCTTTTGTTTCTTTGACTATTAAATCACATGAATGTATTGTCTATTCAAAAATGCACTGTACACCTGAAACTAATACAAAAAAAAGCATTACATTAATAGTAAGTATTGAGAGCCTTAGTGAAACAATGACTAAGGAATAATTAGAGGAACCAGTAAAGGAATTGCTGGAAGTGATGGAAAGAGTCAACAAATTATGAAGTTACTAAAATGTTCTAAGCAGTGAAAGCCTCAGATAATTTAATTTCTGACCATGGTCCTTTTATGGAATTATGCAATATTATAATTCTTTGTAGAAGTTACTTCCTGTTCAGGGTTGAATGCAGAAAACCAAATATGATAAAGATTTGTGTCAAACATGATAATCGTTATTATTTAAAAGAGCTTCAGTTCTTTGTTGTCTCCTGTATTTGTAGAGTTTACTTACATCACTAACAAAGGAATATGAATGCACAACAAGCTTAGTTTCTGTTGAAAAGTACAACTCTAATAAAGGAAATGGGACATGAGAAGACTTTTTAGGACATTAGTTAAGAACAGAAGACTGCTGGGGGGAAATCCTCATTCAACAAAAGTTGTTTAAAATCATTCATTTTTATGATATTCAAAAATGGCAAAAGTAGTAAAGGATTACTAGCTTGATTTTTAAGGTGTTTTTAATATTCCTTATATGGTTACCCCTGCTAAAAAAGTTCTGTAAGACACAGGGAGATTCACTCACCCTTCCTGGAACTGTGCTTGCGCAGACTCCTCTGCTACAAGAGTCTCATACTCCTCAGCAGCAAACCTGTCCCAGTCGGAGGGCTCAGGCACGTCATTCTCAACATCCTGAGTATTGGAAAGAATACAACGACAGGAAACAAAAATAATCAAAGACAAAGAATTGGAGATAGGTTATCATAAACGTTATATATCACTGAAAAAAACCTATCTGAAAAATGTTTTGTTTCAAAATGTTAAAAGAGGTGCTGAAATAACACTCCTAAAGTGATTTTCTACACTTCTAATCACAAAATCATAATGAACTGTTCAATAGTTGCAGTCTTTAGCATTTCAATCAGAGACCTTTCTCTAGTCCCTTTGCCTCTGGCACTTTGTCCAGCAGCTATCTGGAGTGACTTGAGGTTGCATGTCTGCCTGAAATGTATCATCCTTTCCTCAGGCAAATTTTTACTGCTTGAAAAGCTAGCTTAGGCACCAAGTCATCTGTGTTATTTTCATGAAAACAGCCCTATCTCCCTCAAATCATTTCCTTCACTATACTGTATACAGGTCTGACAATTAAGTTTGCGAACTTGCCACTGTGAGCTTACATTGGCTGTTTGCATTGTACAAACAGCTCGGTTAAGGTTTCATAATCGTGGTATATCAGTGTCTCACAGCTGTGTTCATGTCAATGTGTGGCAGTGTCTTGCTGAGTGGTCTTCATTATGTGTTTTTGTGTGCCATCACGAGAACGTCTGAGCTTGAATTAGAGCAACGAACAAACATTAAATTTCTTGTTAAACTTGGCAAGAGTGGAAGTGAAATCAGGGAATATGTTAGTTCAAGTTTATGGGGAGAATGCCATGAAGAAAACGGCAGGGTACAAATGGATTAAATGTTTTTCTGAGGGGAGAGAACACATCACTGATGAAGAGAGGTCAGAACTGACAAAAACATTGCAAAAATTCATCGAATTGTGCATCAAAATCATAGGCTATGAGAAGCATAGTAAACCAAGTAAACATTGATAGAGAAACAGAAAAATCTTAACAGAAAATCTTGTCATGAGAAAGGTGTTTCAAAAATGGTCCCAAAGGAGCTCACCGATGAACAAAAGCAAAGGATTGTTGAAGTTTGCCAAGACCTTTTGGAGAGGCAAGATGATGTTTTGGGCCATGTTATCACTGGTGATGAAACATTGGGTGGACCAATATGACCCTGAAACAAAGTGTCCAAGTGCACAATGGAAGTCAGCCAGTTCTCCATGGCCAAACAAGTTCTATCAGTCCAAATCAAGAGGCAAAACGATGTTGCTAACCTTTTTTGATATCAGAGGGATTATTCATTATGAATTTGTACCAACTGGACAAACAGCTAACCAAGTTTACTACTTTGAAGTGCTGAAAAGCAGCATGAAAAATTAGATGACCTGAACTTTTCGCCAACAAATCATGGCGCTTGCATCACAACAATGCACCAGCTTACCCGGCACTGTCTGTGAGGGAGTTTTTAGCCAGGAAACAAATAACTGTATTGGAACACCCTCCCTACTCACCTGACCTGGCCCCCAATGACTTCTTTCTTCATCCAAAGATAAAAGAAACATTGAAAGGAAGACATTTTGATGACATTCAGGACATCAAGGGTAATATGACGACAGCTCTGATGGCCATTCCAGAAAAAGTTCCAAAATTGCTTTGAAGGGTGGACTAGGTACTGGTGTCAGTGCATAGCTTCCCAAGAGGAGTACTTGGAAGGTGAACGTAGTGATATTCAGCAAGGAGGTATGTGGCACTTTTTCTAGGATGAGTTCGCAAACCTAATTTTCAGATGTCGTATGCTTGGTTACCACCTTTTGCTCTTCTGTCTTTTTCATCTCTATAACCCATTCTTTATATACTGAGTCTTTTTCATCTCTATGTAACCAGTGTCTCTTCAACACAGTGCCTGGAATTTATTGAGCACTTTCTAACTAATAATGTTCTTTGCAGATCAGAACAAACATTGACAATTACCACCTCTTATAAAGAAAAGTAAAATTTAAAGGTATAAAAGTAAAATTTATAACAAATAAAAAAAATGAAGGGGGAAAAGGCCATACGTTTTCTTTCCTTCTACATTATGGGTAGCATCTTGGATTATATATTCCAGGTAAAATGATGTTTTTCCATAATGAAAATGAGTTAGCACTACCCTAGGATGTAAGGTTACTTATGGCTAGAAGAATACAAGTACCTAAAAATTGATCACATAATTTGTTAATTACTATATTTAATCCATTTTAAGAACTCCAACCCCACCCTTTTAATATCTCTGAAATTGGCATGCATCTTAGACTTACAATTTTTTCTTGCTTAAAGGTATATAAAATAATGGGACATCTTAAATTCACTGAAATATAATACTGACTTTAGGCTAGTGATAATACACCTTGATATGCCCCAAGATCAGGTGCAGAGTATTTGTTTTTAAAAGGCGATCTTTGTGTTCTTACTACTATTTAGGTCAGTTACGCAACATGCGGAAGAAAAAGAAAAGACTGTACAAGTTTCCTGTGGTTGCACTCCTGTACGACTCAACTGAAATGGTCCTTTTCTGTCAACACAATTTTTACTTTTTAAACAGGGGACCATAGAAGGGGAAGTGGTGATATTCTGCTTTTTGTTAATGTGTGTGTTTGTTTCTAAAGATGGATCATATGTCTAGGGTTTTCTGAGGGTCCTCAGGTTTTTGTCTGTGGGGAAAGGTGCTCATCTCAATTCAGGTGTAAAATGACTTCCAACTGAGAGTCATGCACAGCAATAATGAACATGTGAGAAAGTGTTATGTTATCTGAAGGTTGTCTAATTTGGAGAGCTTCTAGTTTTCATTATGATTGGGAAAGCTATTTACCATGTCATCCTGGAAATGAATGGTACAAATTAAATCAAGCCCAATATATAATACTTTCTAATGCAGCTGTGCCTACTGATATATTTTTTTAAATGTCAGAAGTACAATTTTTTTCAAAAACATTTTTTGTAACTAGTTTTTAATGTATATATATGCAAATACACAGGCCATACAATTCCCTCAATGATAAGTCCTTTATTCTTCTCTCTTTTTTTTAGTATGTGATGAAATATTTTAAATGTTACCTCTTTAAATACTGAGATTCCTGCAGAACAAGACCTTTTTTTTTTTTTTTTTTAAGCCTGTGGCACACAGCCTCTGATATTTCAGCCCTCAGATAGAAGTTAAAACTATACTGGTACCTTCTGGATTGCAAAGGGATCTCTCTGTTCGTGGTCTAAGTATTTCTCCAGATTAAAGAAAGTGTCATAAAAGATGTGAGCCATTCTGCATCTCTTCAGATCTCGTAGAGTTATTTTGCCTACATGAAAACAAAGCTGGTAAATTCTAAGGGCTATTTTGGCAAGTCAACAAACTTCTACTGAAGTTGAAATGTATATGTATATGTTTACTTTATTATAAATATCCCATTTCTTTTTTTTTTAGATAAAATTTACCCTTTTAAAATGTACAATTCAGTGGCTTTTAGTACATTCATAATGTTGTACAACCATTACCACTATCAATTTCCTTAAAATTTTTTTTACCCCAAAAGGAAACTTGGTACCATCCCCATCTCCTTTTACCCATTACCCCCAAACCCTGGCAATCACTAATTGCTTTCTGTTTCTATGGAAAAATACCATTTCTTAAACAGGATTTGCCATCAACTGTTAGTTTGCCATCAACACTAACAGTAAAGGAGAAACTTAAATACTTCTGTATTTGGGAAGCTTATGTGGAAGACTGTGTAAAGTTAAATAATTTAGGACAATCAGGATTATGTGCCCCACTCTGTTACACAGGTAAATAATGAAAATGGCCCTTTACTCAATCTTACCATCACTGGCTGGCTTCACCAGGTCAAGCATCTGGCACAGCAAATCATGGAATGGCAAGGGCTCAATGCCCATGGCTTCCATCCGTTCACATTGCTCCTCGTAGAAGTACTCCAGCTCGTACATGGAGAGTACACCATCCCCATCCACGTCCATGCAGCGGAACCAATACTCAATGCTAGGAGATAAGGACACTCATTAGCAATGGCCTGGTCAAGTTCCTTTATTCACTTAGATTTGTTAGTGCCCATGTTTTGTTTTAAATAAAAATTACATATATGTATATTTTAGACTTAGAAAGACATAGTTTTATAAAATTTGTAAGAAAAAATGATAGACCCCTTTTTGCCTTTATTTTCCCTTCCCCAGAACCAACCACTGTCAACATCTGATTATTCTGATTTTTATTTTCATATTGTCAGATAAGATTATTGCTTCTTTCTTGTATTCATTAAAAAAATTGTGCATTAATATCACATTATGAAAGATGAGGTTTTAGCTCTTTTACCCCCTCATTCCACTTTACGTACATGCCCTTCCCAACCTCTCAATATTCAAAATTTATAAGTTCATATTTTTATCTCTTATTTGCTTAGTTTTCTGTGTATGTATTACTAATTCAACCCCAAAATCTCTGCCAGTTTTCTACATCGATCAGGTATTGTATCAATTGGATTTTCTTTTTTTTTTTTTTT